GCCTCTCCTACTCATCTACTCACCTGCTTTTTCTGTCAGATGACTTACTTGCAAAATCCAGGTATGTATCAGCATTTTGTTTGCAGTGGGAAACTGGACACAGCAATACCTTAAGGAAAGAAGTCGTATTCACTTTGCAACTGAAAAAAATGGTGTTGGCCTAGGGACTCTTGCAGGCAGAGGGGGTTAGTTCGTTGGCTGGTTGGTTCTGCACAGAATAAATGCATATGGCATTTTCAGTTGTCTTTAACAAGTCTTTGGTCCCTCAACGGCACTGTTCTTTTCTTCTGATGAATGCTGAGAGTTTATCACATCTCCTAAAGTTGTATTTGCTGCTCTGACTTTATCGCACAGAGTGGGTATTTTACAGCCTTAGAGCCAACATGTCCTCACACTCCAGGTAATTTAATCTATCAGGCCTCAAATTGTGGAGCAAAATGCCATCTAAAACCTGACTACTGGAGTTAGTAGAGGTTTATTTCTTTGCTTTTTGGGTCTACAATCTAGAAATCATACTCACACATAAGCCTCCTCAAACTGAGCACCAGCAGAGGCATGGGACCTATATGCTTTTCTGCCATCCCTGTTATGGCAGGAGACCACCAGGGCAGACTGGCAGAGCGGTAGTGCCTTAAACTGCTGCAGGAGGTGCAACCAAAGCTTATCTGCCAAAGGCAGAATTTACCTGAGCAGTGCTGCTGTAATTAATCACTGCTGCCTGCCTTGTGAGGTAGTGCTGGCTTTGAATACCTTGGGTAGTCATGACAGAGCAGTTAAATCACAGGCTGGGGGAAGGGAATCCACAGTGCTCTAGGCATACTCACCTGTAATTGCAAAGACTCATTAATATGCATTCAGTCAGGAATCTGGGTGCACAAAAATAACTACAGAGCGAGTTCCCTTCTGGCTACCCAAAATTACGTATACTGCTGAGTCACGCCATCCTCCAGCTGGTGATTATGGTCTTCCTTACTACTTCCTGCCATATTACAACAATCAAGCAAGGGGCCATGAGAGAAGACCTCTGGTTTATGCAAACTCAGTGCCATGCATAACCTAATGACATCCCTTTTAACTCCTTGTTATTATTGGAGAACGTATTGGCTTTTTGTAAGAGGAGCTGCTTACTTGTCTTGTGGTAAGACAATCCTCAAGACAACCCTCACAGGGTCACATGAAATAGGACTTGGGAGGTCATCCAGCCTATGCCCCTGTTCATCTAAGCCATTCCAGAGAGCTGCTTGCCTAAACTCTGCCTGGTTGTCTTTCTGTTCTGCAAAATGTCACGGTCCAGGAGGGAATCTTAAGATAAGTATTTACATGGATTGAAGAGAGAGTTTGATAGAAGTTTTTCTGGACTGTCTTGTTTGATTAAAGCTGAACTTGCAATGTAGGATCTGGAACACGCAATGCAGAAAGAGGACTGTGCCTATTGCAGGAGAGAATCCCATGTGAAAAGCCTGCTTTTATATGGTTTAGAAGAAAAAAATCCCAACTTCTTGGAAAGACAATTATTAACTTATGGAGTTTTCAGGTTTTGTTTACTATCTTGCACAAATCCTGAGTTCTCAGAATTTGTTGTACGAAGGATATATAAAAATAGCTTCCAAGCAGTTGAGAAAGAGCATCTAGTTTACATATAATGAGCAAACTGTAGTTTTCTTTTTAAAATACAAAGGTAGATCTTATTAATTTATACCAATCTGAGTGCAAAGATTCTGCCTCCTCAGTTCAAGGCTTTATATTAGAACAAGCAGTTTTCTTAGTCCTTCTCTTAAAAATTGAAGGCATTCTAGATTTTAATTTTCTGATTTTCCCCAAAAGGGGTTTTTATAATGCAGTTTTCTTCCTGAGGACAAAAGCATTAGGAAAAGGAATTACGAAAAAGTAAGCAACTGCCTTGGTTTTAACAAAATATGCCTACTCTTCTGGGTGGAACTAACTCAACTAACTGAGGAAGAAAGATGGAAATATATGCAAATGAGATTAAAACTACTGTTTTACTGACAAAAAATTGCCCCAAATGTAATTTAAAAAAAAAAGAAAGAAAAGTATATAATCACTCTCCGCAGAAACTTCTGGTCTGATCAACATGCCACATCTTTTTAAGTGAAAATATACATAATGTATATTTTCTCGAACCTGATGAACCAGTTAGGTGCTTTAGGGCATATCCTGTTTATCCGTAGTTTAATGTGGTGAAAAAAAAGGTAATTCCTCAGCCTCTGCTGCCATCCCGTGGCCATGTACCATCTCTCATTAATGCTAAAACACACCTATCCTGTTAACTTGTTGCACTCTTTCTACTGCTTTATTTACCAGATTCATTATCCATAACACAATCTAATTTCTTCCTCAGTTTTCCGAAATGTCATGAATAATTGGCATTGATTTTTTCCTAGTTTCTGCAGATTAAAATATTTTTTTAATGCCAGATAGTGAGCAAGCTGTCATGCAACATAGCAAATTGCTTTAGTGGGTTTGGTTTTTACTATGCTACTGGCATCCTCTATGAAACTGTTAATTAGAAAACGTATATTAACCCACAGTGTCCATGCTGCTCTTTCTTTCCCTAAGGAGTTCTATCTGCTACTTTGTTTCTAGGAAAGAAAAGCAGCTGAGCAGAGAATAGATTATAAATACATCACTTCATTTTCCTGCTGTGAAACAAAACTAATTTCATGGAGATCTGCTAAAAAGAAGGAATTTTTTTCTGTATCTGGCTAAAAACTTCAACATGTTGAAAAAAGTATTTTAGGATAAAGAATAATAGGTTATCTTTTCCTAGCAGGAACATCATGGAATCTTCTCCGTTAAAGTTTTAAGTTTTAATTAGCTGAACTATTTTAAGTGGAGAGAAAACAACATACCTGTGAAATTAAGCTTGAAGTTTTAAATATTCAAAGACAAAATAAAATAAGTAAAAATTCTGCAGCGATCTAGGGTATACACACTACAATACCATGTACTTGCATTTGCACATCTATACAAATTCTCCTACTTCAGCAAATCTCAAAGGGTTAAAAAATGTATAGTTATATGATATTTCCAAATGTTTAGCCGCATATTGGTGTTTTATTAATAGATGATTTTTAAATTAGTTGATGCATTGGAAGGAGGAATTAATTTCTTCCTGGTGTTAGATTTCCTGATTGTAAAGATAGTAAAGAAAATATACTTACTTGAAATTCTCATATGTAGTCAGAACCAGCTAGGTCATATCTTTAGACTGATAGGAAAATAAACTGTCTCCCTGGGTCATCAAGATACTTTAAGAATGTTCCTAATTTATGTACATGATAATTTTTCTTGCAATCAATGGGACTAATCTGCTTACAGTCAAGTACAGGTCTTTCTTGTATTACAAAGGCACTCAATATGCACTAAGTAATGCCTGAAAGATTACTTAAGCACTGAATAATATCTATGTTTAATTTTAATAATCTGCTAAAATAGTAACAAACATTAAGTCAAGCAGAATCTAAACATTGTGTTTTGTCATAAGAAAATAGTCCCAGTCACAACATTATGTAAACCTAAATTCTAAGAAGTAAGATTTCCAGTACACTCTAATAGACTTGTTGAAATCTGTATTATCAAAAACAGAAAATTTCAAAAATAACAACAAAAAAAAAATCTGTTGCTGAACAAGGCTAAATGCTTTGCATAAAGTAAACATTTTTAATATACATCTCATTTAAGATTGTATCTAATGCTTATAAATAATTTTCACTGTTAAAATGCTAAAGAAAATCTAAGAAATTGCCTAAAGGAAAAGGATTCATTGGACATATTTCTGACTGCTGAATTCAGCTGGAGCCATACTGTTGATGTAGGTAGAACAAGAGTTTACCAAATGTATATGGAAGTTGTTTGGTTGTAAATAAAGATGCAAATTTTTATCCACTTTGAAGTGTTTATAAAAGAATGAAAATAGGTAAATAAAAATGAGAATGTTTCACTTTAAGCTACAATAAAGATTCCTTGGAGCCAGGAGGAAATTTAACCTAGATTCAACATCCAGCTCTACTGTACTGTTATGAAAATTCTCCAAGTTCTGTAGCAGCTTCTGTTAACATTTTTAATGAAAAAAAAAAAAAAAAAGATTAAGAGAAATGTCCTTAGTATATTTGCTTGCTTTCAATTTATTTTATATTGTACTGTCTCATATTCTCAGTTTTCAGCATTCCATGGATTGTCACCTTTGGTTTGTGAATAAAATAATCAATCTTAGGTTAATTCACATTTCTGAGAATTATACTGTGCTATATATCAGAGAATTTTAACCTTTATTTTAACTCTTTGTGAACATTTGAGTTGACACAAAACAAAGTTTCATCACCATTATTTGACATGATGATGAGTCAAATCGGTCTGATCCTCTCCTAACCACGATTTTGTATTTAGCAGTTTGCCAGCTGTATTCAAACACAGGGAGGTGGTTTCATGTAGACTAGATCCTGCAAGAGTCATTCCAAGGGAGACAAATATTGGGCAGTCTTCATGTTTCAGCAGCTCTTGAAGGTATCTTCGACCACCTAAACAGAGTGAAACAATACTAAATTATGTGGTTGCATTTGTAATCTACACCTGCTGAACTGAAACACTCACATTTTAATTGAAGGAAACATAGCTAAAGAAAGTTAAATCAAATGGTACAAAACATTCCTTCTGACTCCTATGCTCCTTCCAACATTATCACTGGAAAGGGCTGAGAAATATTTCATGAGGGAGTGACGAGAAGCATGGAAGAAAAAGATATGGATGCATGGATGCATGGGAATATGGAGGTAATAGTAAGAGTAACAAAGCTTAAGAAAGGCACGAACAGAAGCAGCTCTTCCTAATGCCACAATCATTGTTTTTTTCATGAGCACCAAGAGTACAAACATAACCACAGCCTGGCTTTTTCCCCTGAAATTTGAAGAGTGTCCAACATAGAACATTTACATTGACTTCATTAATTCCCTACTTCATTCACACTTTAAGGAAAGAAAAAAAATCTATAATATGCATGAGGAAGGCTTGAGAAATGCTGACTTGAATTTTCCAAATGCACTTTTTTTCCTCCTATTCCCCTGCTAATAACAAATATCAGGAACAGTGAGTGCCCTCTTCCCTGCACTGATGGAAAAATTTTCAGATACTTTATACATGGACCTGCAGTTTTTTAGGTATTCCAAAGATAGGTCAGGCTGACACAAAGATATTCTTCCCATTTTGTTACGTGAATGCTAAAGTTAAACAAATGTTAAAAGAATATAAACAAACAGAACCTCGAATTTAAAACTCTGAAGTTAAAAGTCACTTTGCCCCGCCTCAGAGGTGCTGCAGCGCCTATTGAAATAAATTCTGAGAGTGAGGCTACAGAGAACTGTGCCAGGACCAGCTTGCAGTTGTCCACTGGAACATCAGCAAGAATGTATTAACTCCCCCTCAAACCCCAAACGATCACAGAACCACCTCCCCTAACAAAAAATAAAATAAAGACAGCATAGCCTCCTAGTTAAAAATGTAAATTAAGCTGTGACTAACCAATTGCTTCTGTAAATTACTATCTACCGCTTAAGCAAAATAAATTGGGAGACGATACGTAACAACAATCCTGTGCCCTTTCCTTTCTGCCTAATCTATAATCCATTAGAGCTGGGTTGATGCAATCATTTTATGAAGCACTTAGAGAGGAGAGAGCATAGTGCAAATAGCAAGTCTCTCTGGGAATGTAGGACTATCTTTCTCTGAAAAAAATGTGGACAGAGTTCAAAACACCATAGTGACCACCTTGTTTTCTTCACACACACAATTTGCAATCACTAAATTGCTTGGAAGTGGTTGTAATACGAGCAGAATACAGTGTTTTCTTTCTCAGCTCTGCAAAATGTGTTGTAGGCCGAAGGATAACCTTTTAAAGACTAAAAAAAACCAAAACCCAACACTGGAACTGGAGGATCTGATGGGAATTGCTTAAATTAGAAGGAAGTTACTAACAACATGATTAAACAGTAACAAAAACCCCTCTGCCCTTCTCAGTACATGTAATTTGTTTCAGTTTGCCTATGGCATGCCATATATGCCTGACATATTGTCAATATTCCCATGAGTAATCAACACACGGTAGTGGCCAAAGATCAGATAAACCTCACCAACCTTTAATGTCTGGATCTTTTTTCATGCATTCAATCTCTCTAAATTGTTGATCAAGTCATTAAACTGCTGGTTTTGTATGCTTCAGAAGGGTTTCTCTAACCATCAACAGCCATGCCTTCCGCTTTTTGGTCAAATGTGTCAATGCACTTATAAGCCTTCAAGCCGCATGGACACAGTCTGTGTCCTCTTCTTTCTCAGCCATTTGGTGTTTTTTTTTTCTTTAGTTTTTGGGTGGCTCAGGGATTCTTCAGCTTAATGGGCACAGGACTTGAATGCAGGAGAACAGTCTGTGGCAAGCAACAACCAGTTTCCTTCTTCAGAAGTAGCAGGTTCCTCTGCATCCTAAAGCCTAGTCCTCAGTTCAGCCAAATTAGTGTCTCCAAAGATGCGCAAGTTCACATTGTTGATGAAGCCTACATGTTCTCAGAACTAAGCTATCTACTCCAGCTGCTCACACTGGATTGTGTTCCTTCACGATAAATCCTTTTATCTGTATGTACAACATACATTCCCAGCAAGTGAGGACCAAGACCTTGGTATGGCCGTTCTCTGTAAGCAGAAGCAGAGGAAGTGCTGTGTTGATGACAATAGGTTTTCCACCCATTCAGTTTCCTTTTTCTGTAACAGCTGCGGGGAGAAGAAACAAACCCCAGATCCTTCCTAGCCTCTGTTTACTAATACCCATACTCTTTTCAACAGCTGCAATAGCTCTGCCCCTGCGTCTCTGGAAACTTTGGACAGCTGACTGGATAGGAAGAATACGTATTTTTTTATTTCTTCAGAACCTTGCAATACACTCTTATTAGTTTACCTTTCTTAATATATCAATTAATTACTTTGCATACTTCTATCATTCTGATTCTTTAATGAAAAATTCTTAAAATTGTACAAACTGCTTTTACTTGAGAAGAAAAAGAAGGTGATGAGTAGAAGATTTCCACTTGTCAGACTGAATGGTAAAACATGCCTGACATTTCCAAATCCCACATCCAAATTAGCAATGCCATCAGAAACAACCATCTGATTGCAAAGTCTTTAGATGTTATGATGGGTTTTCATGATAGTTGTCAAAGCAGGACTGGAATCCACCATTGCTGCATGAAAGCAAAGTGTTTGACCACAGAATATGAACATGGTAGCACTTTTCTCTACAGTGTAGAAAGCTAAAGTCCCTTTCAGTATTTTCTAAGTTAAGCTGTGGCCCAACATCCAAGAGCTTGCCACTGCTATTTCATGGTGAACAGGAAAAAGTTGGGCCCAGATGCTTTATGTCAGAGAAGAATCTCTCTGGTAAGATTTGTCCAAGTAAGGAGAAGCAATTGAAATAGGCCACATCTCATTTTCTGCTCTTATATTCCTTTTTTTTTTTCATCATGGCCCCAGTTCAATTACATTTTAAAATTCAGATATAGCAAGAAAACAGGGATAGGGTAAGAAGTGAAGAGTCTCACCAAGCAAAGTCTGTCTTCTCTCAACAGTTCATGGAGCTGAGGCATAAAATAAGGAGAAGGAAAGTACTTCTGTATCCTGTGGTGCATGCATGCATCTCAAATAGCAGACACTCAGCTCCAGGATCTTCTTTGTGTTATCAGCTGCGCTGCTAGGACTTTGCCAAGGAAAGATACTGTGCGTCTTTTTCTGAAGCTGAAAGGGGAGGCGTCTGAGTTAGCAACCACACGAGGGCCTCCATGCAACAATCCACACCGCTGAAAAGGGAGCGGGCAGAATTTCTCTTGGTAGTTAAGAGAACACATCTGCTCCTCTCTGATCCCCACTAACGCCTTGTAACAACAGTGAGAAGTGGAAAAGCAGTTGCATGCTTCAGTCTCGCTTAAAATATTTAGACAGAAATTACCGATTAACCAGTGCTGCATCTGGAAGCCCCGGCGTCCCTTCTTCCTCCTCTATGATGCAGGACTTGTGTCCTGTACAGGTAAGAGTGTTTGGGAAGGGGACACGCTGCCTGTCCAGGAGTGACTGAGTATCCACACGCCTGCATCAGCTGCTCCTCACGGTTTTGGACGGGTCCCTTTCCTGTCTGACCCCACACGCCCTGCCCGAGGGAAAGCGCAGGGGTAAGGTGACACCGAAGGCGCCCTAGGAAGGCACCTGCCGTGAGGCGGGCGATGCCGGCGACCGCGCGGTGGAGAAGCCGGCCCTGCCGGCCGGCCGACGTGCCCCACGCCGCCCAGGGCCGCGCCTCGCCGCTTCCCTCAGGGTTTCCTCCCCTGCGGGCCAGGCTGTGGCCGCCGCGGCCCGGCCC